TTTTCGGAAATTTCCATGACCCGGCCCAGCCCGGCCCCCGAAAGGCCCGCCAATTACCGCGAAGTTTGGAACTTTCACTCAAAATCGAAAAAAACCAATTTTTGCATATTTTGTGTGAATGGATCATATTTTGCATGTACGGAGTAGTTCGACCCAAGAAACTGCCAAACCGGGCCTTGAAAATTTCCCTACGGCCGGGCCATGCTTGCGGGCTTTGACGGTTCTCGCCGAGATTTCACAAATATGCTATTCTAGGTAACACCCTGGGAGCACGTCAATTGAGAAAAATGATTTTTTTTCTAAATTCATTGAAATTGTTTCTATTTTTCTCAAAATGGTTTCCCGAAAAAAATGGATTTGGTGGTGTTCAGTGAAATGTACAAGCAAGCATCACTAAGAAGTTGAAAAGCTGCTTATCCATATGTTAGCTGCTTATTTTTGACATCTCAAAGACATTGGTTTTATTCTGATTGTGATGAAACCAAGCTGTTAGTGACGTTTCAAGAAAATCCTTCATTCTTTTTATCTTACTGATCAGAACCTTTTAGTTCCGGGAAAACATTTTAGTATACTCATTTGAGAAAACGAAAAATTGAAGCATAGATAGACGAAATTCGACGAAAACCGCTGTTTCGTTAAGTTTAAAGGCGCGCATTTTACTGTAGGGTGGCTTATTTCGTGTCATTTTACAGGCACAGTTTCAAAACGTCTGGTTCCGAAAAGACCCGGAGCCTCTATTAGAGTAAGTATTCCCTGGTTACCTTATATCTCTTTCCGACAATAGTTCCAACTTTGAGTGTCTCATCAACAGTATCTTCCGGCATCTTTTGTTTTGTTTTTTATCTTTCGAAAGAAGAAGAAGAAGAAGAAAAACCTCAGAAATGTCCTTTTTTCATTCTATTGGGGATTCAAAAGTATTGGTCACTGGGGGAGGTCACGTATTTTTCTTGGAAATGCTAGAGGATTACGGTTGGAAAAAATGATTTTCTCACCGTGTTTCAAAAGTTTTCGCCCCAAATTTTATGATTTTCGTACCAATCACACATGGTTTTTTGTGTCGAATTATAAATTTTAAGCCCCGCTTTCTGCTCCTAATTTCATTTTTTTTACCCATAGCTAACATTTTCAGACAGTTTTTCATTGAAAGTTCTGAAATTTTGGCTATTTGACAGGAGTGAAATACAGTAAGAATTAAAGGGTTATGGTACAGAAATTGCCATTTTCAGATAATTTTGAAAAGGCTTTTGAGCCTGAATTTGGACATTTGACGATCGAATTTTTGTGAGTTTCAGATCATTTTTCAAAGTTTTCAATCTCAAATTTCAGCAGCTTCTGCGTATTTCTTACCACCAAAATTGTCCATTTTCAGGCTTGTTTCGGGGTTTTCGCTCCAATTTTTAGCCGTTTTGAGACGATTTTCCCTGGTTTTTATCCCTTAGCTTTGGCTCGGTTTCCCCAAAAGCACAAACATTTTCTTATCTAAAAAATCTTTTTTCAAAAATCTGGAATTTCCAATTTTTGATCGGACAATTCTTCATCTTATTCATTCCATTTTTCACCTCATTTTTTTTCATTTTTCCAAAAGAAACGGATTATCCTTCCTCCGTCCCCTCCTCCCCTCTCTCGTCAATGTGCGTCAATCGGATGAATTAGAAAAAGATGAGAAGGAAGATCATTAAGTTTTTTTTTCATTCATTCATATCACTTTTGGTTCTGGAAAACATAAAACAGATTATGTTCTTTGAGAAGAGAGAGAGAGAGAGAGAGAGAGAGAGAGAGAGACAGAGAAAAGGGGCGGAGCTTGAAGGGAGAGGTCTGGAAATGACATGATGACTGCACTTCTTCTATAGATGTTTGGTGTAAAAATTTAAGTTTTTTTCTTGCAAAATTAATTAATTTCGGTTTCACACTAATTTCCGAAAAAAAAGTGTTTTCCTAATTTTTCCCAAATTTTATGCCTATCTATAGAGCTTTTTACGCTGATCATTTTTCTCTCTTGTCACTGTTTCCTATCTCTACAATAAACCTAGATATCGCCGTTGAACCGCGCACTCGCGAGACGCAGACCGCCAGACGCTCTAGCCTTGTCTGCGTCTCTCCTCTAAATTCAAACGCCTGTATCTCGGTTCGCCGAGATTATAGAGAAAAGTGGCAAGAGACAAAGATGATCAGCACTGGATTCTCTATCGATTGATGTAAAGTTTTTCCCAGATATTTTGAAATGAAAATTTGACACCTCCAAAAAAAATTACTTTTTGAAAAACAATATCAAATTTGGTACTATTCAATAGAGAATTTGACGTTGATCATGGGTGTCTCTGGCAATTTTTCTTCATTTTTTCAATAAACCGAGTTACAGCCGCTCAAAGTTTGAGAAGATCCGCAGACAGGCAGACGCTCTAGCCTATCTGCGTCTCTCTCCCAACTTTCGGCGGCTATATCTCAGTTCATTGAAAAGATAGACGGAAGTGGCAAGAGACAAAAATGATCAGCGTAATTTTTTCTATCGAATGGACCCAAATATGCACAGAACTTCAATTTTTCGGAAATTATGATGTTTGCGGACTTGGCGTCAAATTTTAGTCCCTGCTTCCTGTAATATTTTCCCAACCATATTTTTGTTTTCTGATTTTTTTCCACGACTCCAATTTCAAAAATATGACTCATTTCCGAAAAACAGGACTTTTGTTATTGCCACACACCAAAAAATTAATTTTTTCATTTTTTGTGAGCTACAAAAAATTGTCTTTGCAAGAAAAAAAATACCTCCCGCCACTAATCAGAATTCGGGTCTCCCTTCCGACCAGTGAGTCATTTCAATCGAAAAATGAGAAAAAACATGTTTTTGCTGGAAGAAATTTCTTCCTGAACTACAGTAACCCCTGAAAATCTACACACCAAAGTTGGTTGCTGGAAAAAAGCAAAAAATGAATATTTTCAATATCCTCTTCGAGGTTTCTCATAAAATGGGAAATTTTTTTATTTTTTGCCTGAGGCTATATGAAGGGGGCCAAATTTGTTCATCCCGACCCAATTCACTTTAAAGGCGCACGCGAATTTTTTTCTGGAAAAGGACCCTGCGCCTTTAAAGTGAGCTCGGATGAACTTTAGTTAAGACGGTGAGCCTTTATAGTCGAACTAAGAGCATGCGCCATTACGGTAAACTCAATATCAGGCCTATAATGAAACCCTGTGCCTTTAAAGTAACTCCTGATTTAAAAATCCCATTGAAGCTTCTTGAAATCCCACATCTAAACCTTCAGATACCCTCTCCTAAACCTCAAGAAACTCCTACCAAAACCTTGGTAATCCTAGCCTAAAACCCCGACTTTTTATCCAAAAACCCTCTGAAAATCCTTCTAAAACTCCTAAAAATCTCCCTAGAGCCTCGGGAAATTGGTCGGTCAAGCTGAAAAATCCAGTAATCATGTAAAGTGAAAAATTTATTTGAAAACTTTAAATGATAGCCCCACCCACCCAAAAACCTCCACCTGAACCCCTAAGAAACCTCTCAAAAATCCTCTGAGTCCTCAAAAATCCTGTTCAGGCCCAGAAGTCCCTCCCCCAATCCAACTTCTTTCTCTCATTTCCATCTTCAGCCCGTCTTCCAACTTAAGTCATCTCTGACCTACCGTACCCCCACCCGTCTCTTCTCCCTATTCACTTATTCATTCATCAATTCACATCAAGAATCATCATCCCATCCTCTTCCCTCAATTCCATATAACATCATTTTTGAATTCCTAATAAGCTAATTCCAAAAAACTGAGTCCTCCCCTTACCCCCATATCATATTCAGAATCCTAATTATTCATTCAAAATGTCGCGTGTCCTCACTTTTCGATAAGATTCTCTATCTTCTCGTTTATGACTGCCATTTACTACCAACGTGAAACTTGGCGATGTGGCGTAGTGGTTCTGGGCTAGACTGGCAGGCGAGAGGTTTTGGGTTCGATCCCTATGGGGTGGATTTTGTTTTGTTTTTTTTATAGGAGATTGTTCGGTTCGAAAAGCCTATTTTTATCATCGAAATGGGATTTTAGAAATGATATATTCCAAAAACCATCTCCAAGTCTAAGCCAAAATTGAGGGACCATAACTCTAAGGAGGGCGGAGCTAGGAAGTTCAAAATTTTTTCCTGGGGGCTTCGGACGATGCTCTATCGATTTGAGATAGTATGGCTCTATTTGCTGAACGAGCTCTATTTTCCAGAGATTTTTTTTGCGCAGGCTGAAGCATGCGCCTGAACCTAGGAGCGCGTTCTTCAAGCGCTTGGAAGGCTGACTCAGCTTCGAAAGGTCTCACCACGATACACAACCGGACTGCTTTTTGGAAGACAAGAGCAAGAAAACGACTCTTACAGAACGAGAATTGATGAAAAGTTTTCAAATATTCAAAAAAAGCCATACGAAGACGTTTTATAAAAGCCTCATAAAATTTGAAACCCAAAAGTACTCCTACAATACACTTTCCTCTGTGGTGAAACCCATGCTGCGCCTTTAAGGTTACTTTCAGTCCATCCCTATCCGAAACCTTCTCAAAGTCCCCTCGGAACCCATACTTGTCCAAATCAGGCCCGGCCCGGCCCGGCGGGCCCGGATTTGAAAAAAATTCGAATTTTTCAGCAAAAATTTTAGAAAAAATTTCAACTTTTTGAGAAAAAATGGAAGTTTTCATGTTGAAAATGCTTATTTTTCCTCAAAAGCAAGTTATTGACTGAAATAAGCTTTTTTCCGTGTAAAAGTTATCAATTTTCAGTTTAAAAAATCTCCCTTCCCCTGACCCCGGGCCCACCGGGCCGGGCAGGGCTGGGCTCGGGCCGGGCCGGGCCCAGGAAAATTCTTTTAATTCCCATTAAATTTTTTTAATTCCCATTTGGGCCCGGCCCGACCCGGCACGGCCCGGATTTGGACAAGTATGTCGGAACTCATTCGGAACTTCCCCCTCTTTTGCGCGCTTCCCCTCGGTTATCAGCGCCCTCCGCAATCACATCTATTTTTGCACGCGTGGCGTAGTGGTAGTGCGCTAGACTGGTAAACCGGAGGTTCCGGGTTCAATTCTTCTGGGTGTGAATTTTCTTTTGCTTTTTTTCTAGAACTGTTTTTGATTAATGAAATGGTTTTTCGAGGTTTCAGAGCACTTTTTAGAAGAGTTAGGGAAGTTTACCAATCCTAAGACCCACAAAAAACTCCTCCCCGGATCATATCATATTCATGAAGTGTGTGACTAGTGACCCAATTATTCATTCAAAATGTGCGTGTGTGTCCCCTGACTGAGAGGCCCAAGGGGGTCCCATAGAGTCCCCTTCTCTCTCAAAAAGCTCTCAAGTGTCAGTCGGGACCCCTTTCCATCCGACTACTACTCCCTCACTTTTTTTTTCGAAAAACCACCACCACCCCCACTCCCCTCCTCACCGTTTTCATCTTCTCTTTTTTCCACTCCTCCCCTTCTTTCCCCCCTGGCAGCCTAGAAGAGAGAAAAGAGTATGTGTAGTCACTCTTCTATTTCTTCTTCTATTTTCTTTTTTTTTTGTCCCCCCTCCTGCTCCCCCCACCAACGATCGATGTGCTCTTCCTTCTTCAAGAGGAGAGGGGGGAAGATGTTGTATAGAGATGGATTTCCTGATTTTTTTTCAATTTTCCCTTTTCTAATGGAATTTTCTTTTTCTTTTTTGCTTTGCTTTCTGTGATGAGAGGCATGTGCGATGACCCTTTTTGGATTTATTTTTCCTGAGTTTTTAGAGTTTTATGAAATCCTTTTATCGTATTGTTTTTATAGATTAGAAACTGAAACTTTGAATCAAAATCACTGAAAATTCTACTTTTTCAGGAAATTAGGTTCAAAAATTGAAAATTTGAATATTCAGCGGTGAAACTCAAATTTTTCGCTTTTGTTCTACTATTCTGATACAAACTTAAAAGATTTTGATCCCGATCGATAAGGAATTAAAATTTTTATCGATTGGTATAAATATCATACAAGGTTTCTAGAGAAAATTCGGGTCAAAAACTTGAAAAACTGAAAACTCAAGGCTGAAATTCAATTTTTTCACATTTTCCTCCACTTTTTCTGATACAAACCTATATGATTTCTGTCTCAATCGATAGAAAATTCAATTCTCTATCAATTGGTATAAATATCATATCCCGTTGCTTTAGAAAGTTCAGTTCAAAATCTGAAAAACGAGTTTTCGCTCAAAATGATAGTTTTTTAGGTTTTTGGCTCTATTTTTTCTGTTTTTCTGAGGAAACCATATGTGAAATTTATCTCAATCGATAGAGAATTTTTTTGATCTACCAATCGATTTATCAAAAATCCCAGGTTTCTCGAAAGAACTGTTTTTCGTAGGCAACGTTCCCTGGATCCCTTGAATTAGGCAGTTGAATTTTTTGAAAATACACTTATTTGAAATAAAATGACACCTACAAAACGAAACTTTCAAATCATCTTTACAGACAACTACAGTAGAAAATAATTATTGGTTTGAAAAATTGCCAATTTACCTAATTATCCCCTTTCAAATTGGCAATTATTTTAATGAGTCTTAGACTAGGGTTCAATAAAATAATTGAGCCAATTTCATAATTTTTTTTGATCAATTTTCAGTTTTTCAAACTTTTTTCTATTTTTAGCCAGAATGCACCTGTGGGTTTTTTCTGAATTTTTGGTAAAACCAAATGCTTCTGACCTTCGATTTCAAAAGGACGGGGGTGGTAGTTTGTTACTCATAATTGAATTCTTAGGGCCAAATAATAAGGTTAACAGAACTAGATTAGAGTTTTTTTTTGCTTTTTTTTTTGTAGTTTGTTTCCAGGTTTTGATACATCGAAAAAGCTAGAATAGGTGCCTGACTTGAAACTTTTTTTTTGAAATACATTAATCAAAAAATATGCTGCCTGTAAAGTAGAATTTCCAACTTTTTAGGGGCGTTCTTTCATTTCAAAAATGTATTATTTCCTGATTCCCTCAGCCTAATCCAGTTGATCCCGGAAATTGGTCTACGATGGAAAGTTCCTGATGGCGGCTCTTTTTTTTAATAACCTGGAGTTTCAAAAAAAAAAGAGTTAGTAGATCAAAAAATTATCTATCAATTGGTATAAATTTCGTATAGGGCTGTACCAGACAAAAATTATTTTTAGCTTTGAATTTTCAGTTTTTCTTGTTTCGACGCTATTTTTATGGAAAAAATATCCATATGAAATTCAAATCATTCGATAGAAAATCAATTTTTCTATTGATCAATAAAAAAAATCATGTGAGGTTCTATTAGAAAAATTGGATCAAAATGTCAAAAACAAAAAATTTTTGGCAAAAATTCAAATTTTTCATTTTTGACTCCATTTTTTCTGAAACAACCTGATATGATTTTTGTACCAATCGATAGAATATTCAATTTTCTATCGATTGGTATCAGTTTCATATGAGATTGTTTCAGAAAAATTGGTCCAAAAAAAAGAAAATGACCCAAAATTTGTTTTTCGACTTTTTGACCCTAATTTTCTGATACAACCATGTATGCTATTCATAGCAATTGATAGAGAATTTTTTGATCTACCAATTTTTAATTTCAGCTTTAATTGAACTCCTCAATGCATCTCGTTTTTCCAGACTTTTTTTTCAGCAAAAAAATATAAAAAAAAACTAAAAAAAAACCTATTTCTATCTCCTCTTCCCCTTGACCCATCCATCTCCCAAGGCCGACTACTACCTGACCAATATCCCATTCTTCTTCTCATCCTCATCCTCTTCACCGGACCCTCCTAATCTCAAAAAGTGTTCTTTCCACTTCCCTCCGGCTCCCCTGGTACCACTCTCCGGTGCCTGGCGCCTGTTGTCTGATTGGAAGGGGACCCCCCGCCACCGATTGTCCTTTTCCTTCATTACGTTTCTTTTTTTACCACTGAAATTTCAAGATTTTTGTGCTTTGGGCCTCTCAAAACTCTTGCCAAAAAGGAAGAAGAGAAGGGGATCATAAAGCACAAAAAATGAGTCTCTTGGGAGGAGAAAGGCTTCCAAAAAAGATACTCTTCTTCTTCTAATCCCATTTTTGGGAGTGGAATCAGAGATCAAAAGTCCTTTGGAATTGAAAAAAATGAAGGAAAAAGAAATTCCACCCAGGAGGAATCGAACCCGCCACCTCCCCAACGCCAGCCTAGCGCACAACCACTGCGCCATACCTGCATCACCCGAAGCGGCAGTAGTGGGCATTGATAAACGGGGGGGGGGGGGTGAAGATCCGCGCCAAGGAGGAGGGGGGGTCTAAAAGCTGAAATTTCAAGAATCATCCCCCGCATTAACCCCTTCTAGTAAGTAAGTGTCCAGGTGAATCTAATCCCCTAAGTCGTCACTTGATTATTAGAAAGATAATACACCTGGTCTTGACCACAAGACACCTTTTCAGGTAGGAGGAGCCACCCACTTTTTTCATTTTTTTTAATGAAAATCAAGATCTATTCAGTTTTTTTATAGGCGGAACCTTTATTCAATTTCCGGGATCAATTCAGGGGACTGGCTGAGAGCGGAAATTGCGTTTTTTGGGGTTTGGGTGGGCTGAAAACCCCATAGGTCTACTCATAGACATTTTTTTTCTAGAAAACTTCTGAATAAGCCGCATTCCAAAAAATTTTTATCGGAATCACTTTTAGTTTTACACCAATCGATAGAAAATTTTACGCTGATCATTTTTGTCTCTTACCACTTTTTTCTATCTCTCCAATGAACCGAGATATAGCCGTTTGAAGTTGGGAGCGAGACGCAGACAGGCTAGAGCGTCTAACTGTCTGCGTCTCCGCGATTGCTACCTTTGGTCCATTGTCTCTTGGTTCTAGCTACTTATTCCTATTTTCTACACAAAACAAGATACAACGGGTGACGCGCACACAGAGACGCAGAGACGCAGACAGTCAGACGCTCTAACTTCTCTGCGTCTCTCCTCTAGTTTCAGGCGCCTATAACTCCCTTTATTGAAGAGTTATAGAAAAACAGTAAGAGACCAAAATGATCAGCATGCAATTCTCTATCGAATGGTGTCAAAATTATTAGGAATTGGTTGAAAAAATGTTTTTCTTCCTTATTTTGTATCTTCAGTTTTGTAGTAGTAGCCAGAAATACAAGAAAATAAGAAGGAAATTTGAATCGGAAGGATGAAATTAGTAGAGCCATGTGGGTGGCTCTTTTCCTGTTTCCTAGAAGATGGGAATTTAAAGAGAATGACCAGAAAAAGGTGTGTGTGTGTCTGACTAGCTAATGGTCAGAGATGATTTGATGGGCCCGTTTTTTCTGCAGTTTTTTGTGAAGGGTGTTTGCGTACCGGGCAGTAGATTTGACGACAACTCATACACGATCTAGGAGATGGTCCCACCACGATTTTCAAATTCTCACTGTGGTAATTTGAAGTTACCGTCTCATCTAACCTACTCATACCCTCCCCCTGACATTATTTGAAATCTCAAAATCCTCGAAAATCTTCTCAAGATTATCCTGTTACGTAGACCATTTGGTGTATAAGATATCTCTTCTCTCTTTCTCTTTCTCTCTCTCTCTCTCTTTCTCTCTCTCTTTTCCAACCCATATCAAAGATAATCTCACAACTTAAAATTTACGTAAGGGTTACATTCTCACTGATGACCTCACAAAGCCCCAAGCTCCGCCTCCTGAATTATGGAGAAATCGGATTTGGGGGATACCTATTTTTTTGGATTATCCAACCTGATGTTTCTGTTCGAGAGCTGTATTTATTTGATTGGAATTTCGGTAGTTTCATTTTCAAATACATGGTTGTTACTGAAAATACTCCTCAAAAACCTGACAAACTCAATCGTTAGTACAATTCATTCTAGGTTTTTTACGTTTTTGACCCTCATTTCCTAGAAAACCCTCTCATGGAATACATACCAATCGGTAGAAAATTCAATTTCCCATCGATTGATACAAATATCATATAGGGTTGTTTCAGAAAATGTAGCTGAAAAACCTGAAAAACTGGAAATTCAGTTTTTTCAGTTTTTGACACACTCTTTCTGTCACAAGCTTACTTGATATTCATACCAATCGATAGAGAATCTTCCACTCTACAATTTACATTTCTTAGCACCTCAAAAACCACAAAAAAACAAGCTATTCAAGGTCAAAAATTCGACTAGTTTTGCACCTGTCCTCTGCCAACACGTAATGAGGAGGCCAGTTCATTAGTTGTTCTCGGGTTCTGAAAATAAAACTAAAAATAGGTCGATTTCTCTTCTCGTTTTGAAAAATTGTAGATAATAGGGTTTGTGAACTCGGCGTCAAATTTGACGAGCAAATGAATTAATGGGTTGATAACCTTTATCGTTTTTTTAGAATTCTTTTTTCTCTAATTTCTATGTTAGGTACCTCTAGGAGGTTCAAAACCAAGGCATGTTTGGAAGATCACCTAAACCATAAAAGGATGTGCTAGGTCCGCCGGTTTCGCTTGTTCTACTTGCTCATAAGCGCCAGGAGTTTCAGTCCTTATTTCCACATCCAAGCCCGCCAGGTCGGGCCGGGCTTCAAAAATTTTCCGAAGCTCGGCCCGGAACGGACCTGATTTGGGCAAATATGCAGTCTATACCTGAATAATTTACCGTATTCCTTCCTCTGCTGCCCTTCAAAAGCAAAAAAAAACCATTGATCTCCATTTTATTCTCTTTTTTGTTTTCTAACCTTTCTCCTTCCCTCTCCCTACCAGACATTTCCGGTTACTCAGCTGACTTGTTCTTCTTCTCCCCCACCCTCCATCCCCCTTTTTTGTTGCTCATTTCCTGTTCCGGTGAATTTTTCTCTCTTTTTTACCCTTCAATGATTCCTGAATCATAACCTTCATGCTATCATTATGATTTTTGGTCCTAGAGAGATTTTTTCTGTAGAGCCACAAAAAAGTTTTTTTTCCTAGAGTTTTTCCAATTTTTTCCCCAAAAATCTTTGCAATATTTCGTTTTGGGACCCAAATTTTTACATTTTTCGCCAGGTTTTTTTGTAAGTACTCCCCTAGTTTCTTAGCTTTTTTGGATCATAATCCATCAGATTCTCCTCGAAACTAATCATAAATTCTACCGTTTTTCGCTTCGAGACCCAATTTTTTTTTCATTTTTTCTCAAATTTCAATTCTTCAGATCTCTAATTCCACACAAAAATCCACCTCATCACAAAATGAGCGAAGACACCCCATCCACCACCAGCGTCACTCCAGTAGCAATTGAGACCCAACCTCCAGCCCCACCACCCTCCGGACCCCGAAAACCGCCGGCACTGGTGTTGCCAACCATTTCCGTAAGTGTTCTTTTCAGTCCCAAAGGACTCTTTTTTGTGCTCTTTTGCTCCAAAATTGTATAGTGGAAGGGTGTGTGTATACACCCCCATGGCTCCAAAAAAAATTTTTTTTCGCTTTTTTTTTTCTTCGTTTCTATTTTTAGAATAGGCTCCAGAAAGAGCATGCTCCAGAAGAAAACGGATAGAGAAGGGGAATGGATGCATGATGTATGATGTTTTTTTTTTTGCTGTTTTTGAGGAATGGGGGGTCTATATACTTTTGTAGTTATTGGAAGGGGGACCAGGGGGGAAGGATATGATGGATGGGGGATCGGGGGTGGGTGGAAGAGGGATGACTTGGCTCTCCAAGACTACGGTAGATGTAGAAAACTATGAATATGATATTTGAAGATGAGCTATATGTTTTTGGTGGATCATCATAAACTCATCAAAAATGAGTCAGAAAATGAAAAAATGAGAAAGAAAAATATGGGAAAATATAGATCAGAAACTTCTGGAAAACTGGGTGGAATAGGCTGGAAATAACTCAAGATTAACCTGAAAAACGCCGAAAAAGCCTAAAAATGGCCTGAAAACAGCCTAAGAATTGCCTGAACTTGGGCTGAATTAGGCATGAAATAGCTTCGAAAACAGCCTAAAATAGCATGGAAAATAGCCTGGAATCGCCTTCAATTAGCCTAAGAATAGACTTTATTAGGCTAAATTTCCTTTTAAAAGGCCTAAAAATTGCTTCAAACTAGCCTAGAATTGGCCTGAAAACCATCTGAAATAGCCCTGAAATAGTCTTAAAAATGGTTTCAAATTAAGCCAAAACCGCCTGTAAACAGGCTGCAACTGCTCAAAACCTACCAAAAAATAGCTTGAAGACGCCCTCAATCACTTCAAAAATAGACCAAAAACCACTGAACAGAGCTTAAAATTGGCTCTAATTCTGCTTGGTAGCGGCAAGTTTTGCGATGCCCTTCTATCAGAGGTTTCGAGTTGTGTTCCCTCTGCTCTTCCACCCACATCCACCCACTCCATTCCAATTTCCAAAAAAAAAACTTAATTGGCGGCTATTCAAATATCTTTTAGGTCAAGCACAAAGATTTGTCATAAGCACTCAGAATTCAATTTTGAACTTTGAAGAATAAAAAATCACAGGGGAACCTATAATTTCGTTCCAAAATAGTCTTGAAAATTAAAAATTTTGGGCTGAAAATGTCAAAAATAAAGTGATCTGTGTAGTGCTTTTTGTAGAGGTTTTAGGTTGTTTTAATGCCAGTTTTAGGCTTTTCTGGGCCATTTTGAGGCGTTTTTAGACCTTTTCGAGGCTTTTCTTAGCCCATTCTCAGGCTTTTTTCGACCTTTTTGAGGCGTTCCTTAGGCCAGTTTCAGGCTGTTCCTAGGCATGTGCACCTATCCTAAAATCCAAATCCAATACATGCCCTTCAATTAGAGGTACTCATTCTCTCCGAAAGAAACAAAAAAACTGAAAAACACCTGTGTCAAAAGATCAAAAATCGCCCGGAAAAGTCACCCACGCCACCCGTTATCCTCTTACAGTTCTTTTTTGCATAATCTCTCTCTCTCCCTCTCTCTCTCTCTCTCTCTTTTTTTTCCTTGACGTCATCAAATGTAATCCACCAGGGGAGCAGGAAAAAAAACTAGTTAACTCTGAAAAAGGGAGGAAGAAGGGTGTGCAATTTTAATTGGAATAATTATCCCTTCATTTCTTTTTTCGCTCCTCTCGTTCTCTGGTTAATTATCAAGAGACCCTCCGACGGAGGAGTCAGTCATATTCATACTCCCTCCCTCCCCCAGTTACTACTCAACCCAACCCTCCCTCCATCATAAAAAAAAAGAAGCAAGAGACACTCCTCCCCCCCCCCCTCTACTACCAAATAGTAAAAAGGAGGGTGTGTTTTCGTGTTCGTTCGTCTTCTTATTTCCTTTTGACTGCTCTGTGTTCGTTTCCTTTTCTTTCGAGAAGGAACCTTAAAGGGACATAGCCAGGGGAACATGGAGGGAGAGGCAGATAATGATAAAAAGGTGGTGGTGAAACGGCCCCCTTTGGTTCAGTTTCAGGTAAGATTTAGGAATTGTGAGGGGGGAGGAATGTCCTGGAAGGGAGAGAGAGGTTTCTAGGATGTTGGTTATAGGATCCCCGTACCCTTGGAACCTTGGTACTTTAGAGATGACCTGGGGTACTGTTCCTGTGCTTTTTCACTATAAAAAGTCCAGTGAAATCTGATTTTTACTGGGTTTTCAAATTAAAAAAAAACTAACCCTGGATTTTTTTGGCTCAAAAATGAAGCATCTATTTTTTTCTATTTGAAAAAAATAACTCAACACTCAAATTGAAAAAAAAAATAATATTTCCTCATAAATTCAATGCGATACACACTGGAATTGTTTCGAAAATTCTGTTTTTTGTTTTAATTTTGACTTTTTTTGATGAGGGAGATTTTTGACTATTACAAACGAACCAGTTTTCCAACTACCGTGAATCCTGTAGTCCATTCCAGGTACTATAGGATTCAAGCAGCATACCTTGGTTGCCTTTGAAGCTATCAAAAAGTGTTCAACTAACAAAATGTTAAGCAAGGCATTGTACACATTTTAGTAGTTGAAAACTTTTTGATAGCTCTCAAGACAACTGAGATATTCTGCTTTGAACATGGTACACTAAACTCTGCTATGGTACATTTAGTACAGTTTGTTCAAAGCAAAATATCTCGATTGTCTTTAGACTTATGAGAAAGTGGTAAACTAAAATAATGTTTGTCAAAGCATTTTAAACATTTTGTCAGTGAAAAACTTTTTTACAGCTCTAAAGACAACCGAGATATACTGCTTAGAACAGGTGTACTCGGTTGCCATTGAATATTTACAAAAGTGGTTAACTAGAAAGATGTTTATCAATACATTTTTAACATTTTATCAGTTGACAACTTTTTGATAGCTCTCAAGACAACGGAGATATTTTGCTCTGATCATACCAAACATACTGGGTAGATCGCAATTACGGTACCAAACTCACCATTATCTTTTAATTTTTCACTCCTAGAACACTATTTCCCAATATTATTTTTCCAACCATGCCCTTTTATTTTCCAGATCTTTCGACCTTCGTCTTCCTTTTCTTCAATTTTTTATTCTAATGCACCATAGCTCTCCTTTCTTTCCCATTTCCTCCTTCCAATCCCCAATCTCCCGCCAGAAAAAGCAGTTTCCCGAAAAAAAAACTGGAAAAAAGAGATCAAATTTCATTGGGAGGGTGGTTAAAAGGGAAACTAAAAACCAAGGCCAAAGCTAAAAGAGAAATTTAAGAAATATTCTGAGGGTGGGGACCAAAAAGATTTTCAACAATCTTTCAAGTTTTCAGTGTCCATTGATATGTGAACAGGGACCATCAATACCCTCATCGCCAACACTGTTACAAGGACCACAGGACGCGATAACGGCGGATTTGATGCAGCGAATTCAGATGGTATGTCTTCCTGAGAAAGTGGAAGTCAAACTGATTTTCTAGGCATAACACTAGGAAAAAACAAAAAGATTTGGCTCTCCATGAAATTGAACCCAGGACCTTGAAATTCAAAAACAGGAGTGTTAGCCACTACACCACGGGAGAGCGGTGAACGAAAAGGCAACGCCCTAGGCGTTCACTGAGCCTTCATGGCGTAGTGGCTAACGCTCTTGTTTTTGAATTTCGAGGCCGTGGGTTCAATTCCACGTGGGGCCAAACCTTTTTGTTTTTATGTGTTTTAGGTTTTCATGTCTTGTTTTTCGTTTTAGATCTAGAATTCCCATTTTGACCTAAATTGCTAGGTATCAGGCCCAGGTCCAAACCGGTCAAACGGTAAAACCTTTGATTATTCTTGTTTTCTGGGCTGTTCTAAAACGAGGAACTACTGAAGAAAACTTCCTTTCCCAAAAAATACGTCATCTGAATTAATGAAATAACAAGAAACACCAGAAAACCAACTTTTTGTTTTGATTTCAAAGAAGCATTTCCGCTTTTTCTTCCTTATAATTACCATGTTTTCAGTTCTCCTCCCAATTCGACAGCGCCCGCCTCTCGCCAAACTATGCCACTTCGGATTTGGGATCCTCTGCTCGATCCTCCTTCTCCACCTCCTCTTCCTGGATGGCTTATCGTGATAGGAGTGTGGATTTCGATGAGACCGGGAAGGAGTTGATATCACCTTTTGACTGTGATACCGCCTGTTCCGTGTCTCCATCGTTCTCGCTGTCGCCGAATTCTTTTCATCATTTCTCGTGAGTTTTTTTTTCTCGAGATTTCTTATAATTTTTATACCAATCGATAGAAAACTTTATGCTGATCATTTTTGTCTCTTACCGCATCTTTCTATTTCTCCAATGAAGCGAGATAAAAGCGTTTGAAGTTGGACATGAGACGCAGTCAGGCTAGAGTGTCTAGCTGTCTGCGTCTCCTCTTCACGCTAAATTGGCGCGCGCAGAGACGCGGACAATCAGACACTCTAACCTTGTGTGAGAGAGAGAGAACATCAACAATTTTTTTTTCAGATTCGATGCCCGATCAGTCTCCTCCCTGGGTCACAGCACCACCAACCTGAACCATTTGCTGTCAGTGGGAGCTGCTTATGAACTCTCCAGGTAAATCCCCATTTGAAGGCGCATCCTATCTTAAAGAACACCTTTCAGAGAACGAAGCCGATCTGAATCCGATATGCAACCCACCCAGATCGACGACGCTCGTCTCCTGGCCAATTCCACCATTTCAGTCCCGTGCTACTCGAAAAAACCCATCAAATTTGGTGGGGAAATTAAGCGAAGTAGTAGTACACCGCCACCAACGACCACTGAAAGGGAGGAGGTGGAGCAGCAGAGATTGTTGAGGCCAACGTCGGGATTAGGCAACAAGGAGGATATCGAGGCGGTAAGGACTCACTTTTTTGTAGTATAATATAGATTCTTCGATGCTGATCATTTTTGTCTCTTGGCGGTTTTCTTCATCTTGTCTATGAACCGAGATACAGTCGTTCGAAGTTTGCCACTAGACGCAGACAATCAGACACTCTAGCCTGTCTGCATCTCTCCTAACTTCAAACAGCAGCAAACTCGAAGAAGAAACGCGAACCGAGAATCTGACTGCCTACGCCTTTGCGTCAATAAAGTCGGGAAGAGAGGCGCAGACAGCTAGACACTCTAGCCAGTCTGCGTCTCTTCGCGAATTTCGGTTCGTTGACGAGACAAGACTGCCGCGCCTTCGGCGCTTCAGCCTTGTTTTGTTCGCCGCTTCGCGGCTCGCTTTTGAAGAATGATGTTCGCAGCTTCGCCGCCGACTATTCAGGGAAAGGTCACGACACTTTTCTAAATTCGTGCATCTTTTGATGGCGAGACTGACAAACAAATATATAAATATATTTACACACAACCCTCACTTCATTTTTTATATATAAGAATGATAGGAAAAAATGGAAAAATACAAAAACTGTCAGCATGGAATTTTCTATCGAATTTCTAACAAATGGTTTGGAAATAAAAAAATGTGTTGGAAAGATAAAAAATTTTTTCGAGATGCTCACAACAGCTATACCATTCGATAGAAAATTTCATGCTGATCATTTTTGCCTCTTGATAATTCTTTCTATTTTGCCAATGAACCGAGATACATGCGTTCGAATTGGTGAGAGACGCAGACGTGTTAGATAGTCTGACTGTCTGCGTCTCTGCATGCGCGTTCGAGGTTCACGCAAGAAGAGACGCAGACAATAAGGCCCTCTAGCTTGCCTGCTTCTCTCATTCTTCAAAAATACCCTTCCCGTTTCCAGGCCAACTCAATAGTGAGCAATTGGGCACGTGACCAAATCTTCGCCATTCAAAATGCGAGTAACATGTACAATCTCCTCACCGCCCGGTCTGCAGAGGACTGTTCCACCCTCTCCGCTCCAGGACCCGTCAAAGTGGTGCCGAAGAGCAAAGATGACTCAGCTTTTATAATGAGAGATGAAGCGAGTCGAGCGAAACAAATGCAATATCCATGTACACTTTGTGGGCAGGTATGGTAGATCAAAAAAATTATTTATTGATTGATTGGAGTTTCAGGCCTTTGCTGTCCATGACCGTCTTGCTAAACACATCGCCTCACGGCACCGACAGCGGAGTTGCACGTTAGACGACGCGTCGAAGGTTCATAAATGTAATATGTGTCCTAAAAGTTTTGCGAGGAGTGACATGCTAACGAGGTAAGTCTCTAATAGAAGGGCACCCATAAGTTTAGAGTTTCCAGGCATATGCGCCTTCACACCGGAGCCAAGCCTTACAGCTGTCCGACGTGTAGTCAGGTATTCTCTCGAAGTGATCATCTATCGACTCATTTGAGAACTCATACCGGAGAGAAACCCTATGCGTGTCCATTGTGTAATTATTCAGCGGTGAGTTTCAAAGTTTTGGTGTTTGCGTACTTTGCGTTGGATTTGACGCCAGGTTGGAAAAATTTCGACAAAAAGCTTCCCCAGACGCTCTTGCCAAAAGTCAGAAAAATTTTTTTTTCGGAAATCGATATCAAGTGTAGCACCATTCGATAGACAATTTTACGCTGATCATTTTTGTCTCTTGCCATTTTTCTCTATCTCTTCAATGAACCGAGATATTAGCCTTTGAAGTTCGCCGAGAGACGCAGACAGTCATACGCTCTAGCCTGTCGAGAGACCGTATATCCCGAGTAACCGAGCATTCACGCATAAATAAAAAGAAATCGGGGGCGCGTCTAATAAAACGAGGGCAGGTTGGCATTATGTTCCTCTTCAGCGTGAAACGTATTTATTGTGGATAATTTCTGATGAAGAAATGGCAAATTTAGAAGGGAAAGAAAAAAATAATTTTAAACGGATAAAAGATACTTTGAAAAGCACTTTAAAATACCGGGAGTATTTTTTAAAATACCCCCAAGCTCAGCACACTGGAAGCATGGGGGATACACCCTTTAAGAAATAGGCTTAGTAAAATCCCGGGAGCCAACTGACTACACCTTCTCCCCAAGCTCAGCACGCTGGAAGCACGTAGGATACACCCTTTAAGAAATAGGCTTAGTAAAATCCCGGGAGCCAACAGAGTACACCTTCTCCCCAAGCTCAGCACGCTGGAAGCACGTAGGATACACCCTTTAAGAAATAGGCTTAGTAAAATCCCGGGAGCCAACTGAGCACGATGGAAGCATAGCGGTACTTATAAAAAAGCATACATATAATCATCATAAGAGCTGCAGAATCACGAATAGGAAAAGCTCATTAAGACGTGAAATTCTCATTAACGGAAAAAACTGAAATTTTTGGCATTTTTTTGACGTGAAGATATATAATTATCTTCTTTTCCTATTCAAAATGTGTCCATCTTGGAGAAGTGGATAACACGTTTGAATTCCAAACAAATGGTTTGGGTTCAATTCCACCCCAGTACAAAAACATGTGTGTTTTTGTACAGGAAATCAAACGTGCCCAATCCGAGGGGCTCGGTGAAAAAATCACCATGCTCGGTTACTCGGGGTTTACGGGCGCGCGTGGTGGCGTCTCCCCGCAAATTTCAAACGCCTATATCTCAGTCCATTGAAGAAATAGAGAAAAATGGCAAGAGACAAAAATGTTCAACTCAAGATCTTTCATCGAATGGTGGTCAATTTAGGAAAATGTAAAAAAAAATTTTTTTTTTGGAAGTCAAATACCAGACCAATAACCGAAATTTCTGAAATTCACCTTTTTTCCAGAGCCGCCGCGACATGATCTCCCGTCACATGCGTACCCATTCAATGTCAGACGATGTCTCCACTCCCCTGACCCAATTATCGATTCGAAGTGCCAGCACCTCTCCACTGCCTCCGAAGATTGTCGATCCGACGGCCCTTGTGGAAATAGGCTCCGGAGAGTTATCAGCCTTCAAACCCATTCTTTCAACATCCCTCTCAACTCATCATTTGTCCGTGTCCTCACCATTTCAATCACTTTCTCTTTCAACTCCATCATCTCCTTCTTTCCCTCCGCCAACGATTCTTTTGAATCGTCAATCCTCATTTGATACTTCAATGTCTAGTACTTAACCACCTGTATCAGGTTGATCTGTGAAAACAAAATGAACAAAAAACTTTAATTTTTAATTGTCACGGGTTGTGTACAGTTCCTTTTTTGCAAGACATAATAAACTTTTTCAATGATTTCTTTTTATGGTTTCCTTTTTTTTAGCCTGTTTCCAGTCGGTGGTGCCGCCTAAACTTCATGTTCGTCGCTGCGCTCCTCAATGTTTTGCTGTGCTGAATCCCATTTTCAATCATTGGGCTGTGATGTACCTAAGCCTTTTTCTGAAGTGATCCACTTTGAAAATTCAAGTTCCCGCCAAGTTTTTCAAAATTTGAATTTCTGCCAAACAGTTTTGTAAATTCGATTTTTGAAATTAAATTCCCGCCAAATTTTTCTAAATTTGAGTCCTCGGCCTACTCGTCAAAGTCCTCTTTGCCAAAATGACTGAATGTTTTGACGTTTCTGGAAGTTTCCAGAAGTTTCTGAAAAAAGAGAGAATGTTCTGGAAAGTTATCAATCTAGGGCTTGTCTGTGGAGTTTTCAATTGAACACTTGCCTTCAGCAAATGTGTTAGTATTAAGTAAGGAGAAGACTTGAGCCATTCGGTATTCTCAATAAATTTACATCGCACTTTTTTTACATCATTCAATAGAACATTTTATGCTGATCATTTTTGTCTCTTACCATT